TCTTATATTTTAAAAAATGTGTTCTGTTTACAGTACATAAGTGTGGCTGTCTCCTTACAATACAGTAACTGATTAATGATTACCTTGACTGAGACACAGACCAGCACACCACATCACTGCCAAGAAAGTGGGATAAGCATCCATGCAGTTACGACTGGAAGAAGCATGAACAAGAACTGTGATTAGCAAATTTCAAGGAAGTCAACTGCAATGAGCAACTATGAAGCAATCACCAGTCTGTTACAGACTGACCCTTATTTGTGTGCTGTTAGGAAATGTTGTGAGACTGCAGAGCAGAGGTGGTTGTAGGTATAAAAAAAAAGTTATTCTTAGGACTAAAACAATGGATGAGCTAGAAAATCTAGTGGCCTTTTGAATGTTGACCAAAGTGGAAATGTGCAGCCAGGAAAAACTGAGCCCGCTCTTCGAGTCAGCACGCACTGGCTGCTGCACCAAATTGCAATAATCAGTACAGTATGTTGCAGAAAACCATGTCCCCTAAAACCTTTTCCAGTCTCACATGGTTGGAGAGTTATCTTAAACAAAAGGAAAAAAAGAAAAAACAGAATATTTTACAAGCTGCTTTGATTTTTCTGCTCTGGGTGCCTGCCCAGGAACCCAGAGCAGAACCAGTGCTGTAAAGATGAAATGACTAGTTGATGAATCAGTCAGTTGACTGATTTTGACAACTAATTATAAGCAAAATGCTAAAAGTTTACTTGTTCCAGTTTTTCGTGTGAATAACCTTTGATTTTTATGGCAGTAAACTCAATATTTTTAGGTTTTTGTCTGACAAAAGCAATAGAAATAGCTTAACTTGGGCTTCAATGAATAATGACTTCAATTTTTCTCTGTCCAAATATTTTATGTAATGAACAATCAATTCATTATTAAAGAAAAAAATGGATCAAATGCACATGTAATTAAACCAACTGTTGGTGGCAGCCCTACAGTTATTCTGTGATGCAATAATACTAGTTTCTTTGTGTTAATACTTGACACAATAAAACTAGAAGCAATTTGATAACAGCTCACAGCTCAACTATAAATAAGCTAAAACAATGCAGCTCTTTTTAAAGATATATTTTGGGCTATTTAGACTTTATTTATAGTGATTCGCAGAGAGGAAACACAGAGAGAGCAGGGAAGACTTACAACAAATAACAGGGGTTGGACTTGACCCATCAACATTGCAATGTTTTTGAAATCCTAACATTACATATAAGACAGGAACTGGGTTAGATATTTCCTTTTAAAAACAGGAAGTGCATTGTTGCTCATAGACTATCTTTCAGGCAAAGAGTGAGTGATTATGTCAGTAATGAATATTAGATTTTAGTTTCTTGCTTTGGCGTATTTGCCAAGTGATGTGTGTGTAGCAAAAGTATTTGTATAAGTATTTTTCAGATTTTCCGATTAGCTGTGTACTCTTTAAAATGTCAGGAAAAAGTGACAATTGCCTATCATAGTCTCTAGAAGAAGACTGTCAACAGTCTAAACTCCCATTGCATTTAATTTACAGTGATATAAAACTGAGCATCCAATCCTGGTTCATTTTCTGTTAATGAACTAAATGGTTCAGCCTTAATTAGTAGCACTTCAAATGAGGAATCTACTCAAGCTGTCAAATGTTTATGTGAAAAGTAGTTTTGCACTAAGTGTAAAAGTGAAAATTTGTATACAAACAACCTTGCTTTCATGTCACATATAATCCCTGGAATAAAATTTTAACCACAGTAAGACACCAGTTTGAAATGCAAACAGACCACAGACTACAAACGCATGAGAGGTTTTCACTGTAACAGGAGCCACAAATGACGATGACTCACCTAACTGAGAAGCCGAAAGAATAACATTTTCCTAATGTTTATTGTTGCTGTCCCAGCGAGCATTCAAATGAGCCCTGTACCAGCTTTTCTCACTATGGGAGGCAAATGAGATCTGCCTCTCAGTAGAAGTAATATTTTGGGGGAATGTAAATCCAAATGGAAATAAAACTAATATAATGCAAAGTCATCCACTGTTTCACTGGCAGAGATGTTTGATTAAATTAAATATCATAGAAAGGGCACTTACTTGGCACAAGATACTCGCTCAGAAGCAGATGTCTGGGTCTTGTGACTCGTGCATTCCCTCTCTACCTTCTGGGCAAAAAAAGCTTAAAACACAGAGACAAATAAAAGAGCAATAAAATGCCATCACTTTTAACATCTTTAACTACTGATTCAGAGTTATAAAAACCTATGATTGCCTTCTGATATTTGTGGCAGCTTTTTCTCACCATTCTGAATTGCGCTGATGAGGGTGACAGTGACCAGGAGGTAGATGTTCTCCATCACTTTATTGGAATCCATGATCACTGTGCGAGCTGAAGGAGCAGGTGGATGCTGAGACAGAGCTTCTCTGTCACGTCCAGAAATGTGCACTTACAGTCAGGTGCCGGGCATAAACCTGATTTGGCTCTGTTTGACGTGTAGTCCCTATCTCACCTCCATCCCACATACACACTTGTTTGTGGCTTCCTCTTGATGTAAATGATGTTGCCTGCTACTTCCTCTTTGTGGTTTTGTGTTAGATATACATGCTCACACACAGCTTCATGCAAATAAATTTACATCAACATTACTACAACATTACATTTTGGTTTTCAAACTCCTTCTGGTAGAGCCTAGGTATAATGCATGGGAAAACTGTTAGTAATGTTTACTGTATATGACAGGACACGTTAAAAATATTTATATTCTTTTTTCATAGCAAATAGTTTCACCTGTCATCAACCATTCAGTGGCTCATTAATGTTATTAATCACACGTGTGCTCTTCCTTCTGTGAGAACTTAAAATACCTGCTGCGGTAGTGGAACAAGTATTGATACACTTTACTAATACCACCAGGCTAGAACAATATTCTTTTACAAGTAAAAGTCCTGAATTAAGAGCAACAAAATATGTAGTTAGTAGAGTGCAAAGTAATATTTTGTATGGAAAATCTTCAAACTAACCTGTAACTGTAGCCATCAAATATATGTTGTGGAGAACAGGATTTGCCTCTGAAATGCAGTGGAGCACATTCTAGCATAAAAATGATTAGTGCCTCAAAACTGTACTTATGTTCTGTACTTGAGTAAATACTTACTTCACCACTGCTCTGCTGTGAAGAAAGGTTTTGAATGTATGAGCAGTGAAACAGCTTATACACTGAGCTATCTCAGGGATATTCTTGGCTTAACTACAGTCAAACAGCACCTGCATGTGCTTTTCAATGGTAATGCAATATAGTAATGTTCAAATTTGGATTTATTTCAGTCTTTAAATGACAGTGTTCGCTATACAGACACTGTAAATGTTAAAGATAGGCTCATAGCTTTTCAAGTCACTATTAAAACAATGTTCATTTTTAAACTTTTTTAATTTATGCCTTATTAAAACAATTGTTCCCCATATGAACACTTAAAAGGCTTCTGCATGTTGTTTTCATTGCTCATGCCTACTGGCCATGAATAGAAAGCTCTTTCTCTGGAAATGAAGGGGTAACAAAACCCACAGTCACGTATTCTGTGCAAAAACGTATTCAAACGTGTATCTAAAGCTAACGCGAGAATTCAGTCAATAATCAATTACGCCTGGTAAGGTGTAAGATTCCCTTTTTATGTTTCCATGAACAGTGTTTCCCCTTTGAGTTGCGAGGGATGGGTAGGCCACTTACAAAGACAGAATTTACACTAAAAGGTCTACGACTTTCGAACACAAGGGATGATTAGGTTACAGTAAGTAAATAATGTCTCAATGTATGGGCATCTCAGTATTGCTTTAAAGACATATTTGGAAAATGTATTCTTATATTCTTTAAAAAATACTTAGAAATCAGTTAGAGCGTCCTAAGCTTCGATTCTTGTGTGGGAACATGAAGTTCTGTCTCATAATGCATGTCAGCCCCTCGTGGTGAATTTGGCCCGTGATGGTCCCGAAACCTCGCACATTCATGTATTGAAGACGTCACTGTAAATATGTCAAAAGTCCGCAAGGCGCAGTCTTTTTTATACAATCATTCAAAAGTCAGGTAACACGAATACACCCCAGCAAAATTGATCATATGTCTCACAGGTTTTAAAGGCAGGAACGACACATGAACTACAAGTCCCATATGGTCTAGCGGTTAGGATTCCTGGTTTTCACCCAGGCGGCCCGGGTTCGACTCCCGGTATGGGAACGTTCCTTATTATTATTATTTTTCTTTCTCCTTCCAAATATTCGCATCATGATACGCCAATGTGCATATTTCCAAAAGAACCGCTGAAAGTTCTGAAACGGTGTGAGGTTTATTCCATAAAGTGGCTTTAGTGAAAAATCTGACTTTTTTGAAATTTCAGATTTAAACACTAGGTCCAGTTTTTGTTAGTTTCTCCTTTTTATTTGTGGACCTATTTTAAAAGTGGGTGTTGAACATATGCTGCATACAGTATAGCCTTAAGTGGTTTAACACTTCACAGCCTTTTTATTTACTACCTACTGAAATCATTAAATTCTGTTGAGCAAGTGTAAACTAAAAATTACACAACATGTCACCAAAATCATTATTACTGGGTTGGACTATGAGGTTACAAGCCTATAAAAAAAGGAGGCTGAGATGAATGAAAATTCCTTCTGTTCTTATAGTGGTTTGTCCAAAGACAAGGTTAACAGTAATGGGACAAGGTAACAGAGGATTCTGTAATGTGGAAAAAGATGTGCACAACACTAATGCAGTTCACACATTATAAATTTGTTTCAATTTGTTGAATTTTTAACAGTTCAAGGTTAACAGCAAATATGCCTGTCAGTCAAAAATACCGACACAGTAACACAACTTTTATTAATACAGACTGACAATGTTCAATGGTATTCACAGATCCAATGGATCTAGATATAATTTCCCCAGGAGAAAGGTGGCTGATGATTTGTCCAAAAAAAAAATAAATTCTCACAATTTTAAAATATTAGTCATCTAAAGTATTTTTGACAGTAAAAACCCTACGAATTTTGTCAAAATAACAAACAGCTTTGGCTGCAAACGAGTCGACACAACCCACTTACAACAGTATAAACAACAAAGTGCCAAACTTTTATGATGAGGTTTACAAATTCTGTGGTTCAACATACCACGTCCAACAGTGTTGACACACAAATTATCCAAATTAATAGCAACATAAATACAACAAGAGATTTCACATCTTGAAACTTCATCTTCGCGTGGGGCAGACTGACATGCCCGACTGACGGCAGCTCATTGACTCTGAATCCATCTATCAAATCCAAATCGGAAACCCTTATCAAACCTTTTCTCACTTGTGGGAAAATAATGTCATTTATTTAATAAAAAAAATTCTGTTTTAATTTCTCTCAGTAAAAGTTTCAGTGGTTTTGTATATATCTAGTTTTGTAAACGAATAGTAAAACAGACTATAATTGTGATTTTTGGACCAATGACCATACAAGTATGATAATGATGATACAAACTCATAATTAACTATAAAATCTAATCCAAAGACAATCTGCTGCGTTAAAGGGGTGCGGTGCTTTCACCTCATATTTTGTCACTGTCCTTTACTCATTATTCATTTTACTGCGAGGAAAAAAAAAAGACATTTGATCCTGACTGAGGGCTGTGCTGCAGCTGCTTAAGTAAAAACAACAACAAAATTATTATCATTCAGTGAATAGCAAATAATTGGCTGATGTTTTCCAGTACGTTGCATGTGACCTCAGGGCGAACTTGTTGCATTGAATCTGACAGGTCGCAAAATACAGTACAACACCAGAGAGCCAAGAATTCCCCCTTGCTATGTTATCAAAAATAACATCACTTTAACAGGTTGAATAGTAGATATTGCAAAAAAGGCCTTCTCATTTCCCACTTTGTCGTACCTTGCTACAAATATCACACTTTACAGTTGCTGCTTTGACTTTGGAATGTTTAAGTCAGGTTTCCATGATTGACGTTTACAGCAGTGTCGATGAGTTATCATGTACGTCAGCCTTCTTTTTATCTGCACATGCCTAAAAAAAAATAACTGAGAACATTAAAGAAAGATTCAATAAAGGAGTTGTCGGTTTCAGATCTTACCAAACCTGGGTATTTTACCAATTTGGAACTGGATCCTAAATGGAACCAGCTTTGAGAACACATCCTTTCTGATAGGCAATTGTCATATGTCAATGTTATCTGTATTTGTAGGCTGCAGACAAAACCCACCCCACAGCTTAAATGAAAAGTTCAAGCGCACTGAGTGCCTCGGTCTCCATCTCAGTCGGTCTCTCACCCGCAGCCTGCGAGAGGAACTCATCCAGGAAGTTTTCAGTGTTGAAGTCATTGATGCAAGTGTTTGCCTGTGACACTGCATCAACAGCACTGACCCCACAGTCAAACTGGTCACCCCCATCTTGTCCGTTGGTGAGCATCTCCAGGAGGCCAGTGCTGTCTGGTGACAGGTTGCTGACTGTGGTTGCTGGTGAGAGCAGGTCTGAGAGGAAGTCATCGCAGGTGGAGCCGTTGTAAGTGCTGGAGCTAACTGTTTGCGGAGAACTCAGGTCAGTGCTATCTGGTCGGAGGCTGGTTCCTCCTTGATGATTCAACAGCTTGTTCAGCTTCGCAAGCTGCTTCTTCTTTGCCTTGAGTTTCTTCATCAATTTATACCTGAGGGCTGCAGTTTCACTGAGACCTGGAGGAACCTTTGAGGAATGGCTGCTATGTTTCATTGGGGAGGAGATTTCAGGGAGCCCCTTTGCTCCAGGCACAGGGAGTGATGTACTAGACACCACTGTCGTGCTCATTAATGATTTCTGGTGGTGAGAAGTGATGGGTTGAAACTGCTTTGATTTGCCGCTGAGAGATGTGAGGGATGGGGCTGGGAGGGGACTTGGTGTGCTTGAGCTCTCTGCACCAAAAGCAGTGTACATTTCTGCAGCCTTCAGTGGGAGACCCACACTCTCCTCTGTCCTGAGCTGTGGTTTAAGAAAGACTCCCTCAGGAACATGCTGTCTTCTCACAGGGTTTGGCAAAGAGTGAGTGGGAGGGGTGACTGTAACCGAGGTGGGCATGTGGGTGAGGTTAGCAACAGGCGTGTGAACTTTCTTTATTGGGTGTTTGCTGACCAAGAAGGACCAGTGGGCATTCTGATCTAGTGCTGGGGGCTTTGTGGGATTTTTCTGACTGGTGGACAGGGGTGGGGTCTCAGTTGAAGAGACAAAGGATGTTTTCTGTGTAGCTTCCACAGGTGATATGTTGCCCTGAGCAGCAGCACGCACAGGTTCATCTTTGATTACCTTGGAGGGCTCTGAAGATGCAGGCGGTGTAATATATGGAGCTGCTTTTGACAAGATTGCCATTTTACCTTTTTGTCTACTTATGGTTTTGCCTTTTTCTGTTCCTCTCCCTTGTCTTATCCTGGCACCAGGCACGTATGTTGGATCACTAGATGAGTCATCCCCAGGTTCAGATTCGGATGAGTTGGAGCTGGTGGGATGCTCAACATCAGAGCCCTGACACATTATACTACCTATTAGAGTGGAGGAGCTATCCGGTGTCAAGTCAGGCACTTCATTCTTACTGGGAGTGCTCAAATTCTTAGTCTCTTCACCGTCATGTGAAGGCTGCATTTCTGAATCAGCCTTTAATTCCACCAGTGTGAGTGTAACGATGTCACTGTGGCTAAGACCCTCAAAGGCGTCAAGCAACGTCGTGGAACCTATTGATGTATCAATGTCGGCTGTAACTGTCGTGTCTGTGATGTTGCTGTTGTCTTCGGTTACTGAGTATGCACAGACAATGTCAGTGTCATTGTGAAGTGTGAGAAGAGACTGATCTGGAGTGTCTGTCGTTAAATCTTTGTCACCAAGACTGGAGTTAGTCTCATTTTTAGATGGAGGGGAGTCAGAAAATGTGCTGGAGAGAGAGCAGACACGAGGCTGTTCAGCTTCCTCCATTTCCCAGAAGACAACATGCAACTCCTGAGGAGGAACCGGGAGCTTCTGATGGGTCTTACAGTCTGGATGTTTCAAGTCGTCATATTCCAGCCACAATCCTGAAAGGAATAAGTGCACAGATGTAAAAGACACACACAAAAAAGAAATGTGCAACTTGCATGTTTATACTCAGGCTATGATTAGATTCAGAGACAAAACTAATTATATATGTCAAATGTAAATGTACTACAACAACAATAATGTTCAAACAAGAAAGTGGTTAAATAAAGAAATAGCTTCCCTTAGACTAATAAACTTTTTCACAGGAGCATCTGTGCCAAGACAGCACAAGCACATACATAAAAAAAAGACAGTTCAAATTTTAATGTAGATAAAATGTAGGAAGACTAATCTAACACATTAGCAAAATCTGACAAACCAGTGAAATGAGCTCTACATGGCCAGAGCCTACAAAACGTAAAATTACATGAACTGTCCAGCAGAATGTGCTGTTTGCAAACTACAATGTCAAGGAATCAAAACACAGACCTTTATGTGACCCATGTAAAAATACTGTAATAAACGGCATCCTCTAGGAATAAACATGGATAAGTAATTCACTAAACAAGCAAACCAGACCACCACTGCAAGAAAATTGACTGACAAAACCATGACAGACCTAGTTATTAATACCTACCATCAGAATTGCGTATCCAGGTGACAAAGTGCTTCAGTTGACAGTTGTACTGTATGACAGTGGAGACTGAGTAGCGCTTCCCTTTGAAGCTGAAGGCGTAGATTCGGACATTGCTGTCAGGAAGCCCCTCGACAAAATGCAGCACAAACACTGGAGGCACGCTAAACAAAACAAAGCAGAAGTTAAATGGTTAAATGAATGGAACAATGAAGGCTGAGGCAGGACTGTCTAAATACAAACTCTGGACTTTTTTTTTGTTGTTCTCACTCCTAATGCACATGAAATGCATTATTATTAGAACACGGTTAACTATGACTGCATTTAACCATAAACCAAGACATTTAATTTTTTAGACAAGTGTCCTGTGAAGAACTATTTACTACGTTCTTTAACCTGTAGATTTCTCTTGAACTTCAGAATAAATACTTGTATTTTTCAAATCATGGTGTGGATAATCTAGAGACTTAAGTGACATTTCCACCCCTGTGATAAACAGGGGAGGTTATTAAACACTGATTTAGCGAGTTCAAACTTGTGCATGTTACAATCACTGTTTGGCCCAGTGATGCTCAAATGTTTGCATAAAACTGTAGGTGGAATTATTTCCCAAATCGCTGTCTAATTTGAATTCTGATAATAATCTAAAAGTGATCTTAATTTGCAATTGTACAGTTGGTATATAAACAGGTAAATACAATGCTCCCCCATGAAATAAACACATTGATATGACTAGTCACCATTAATCGGCTGTCAGTATACAACATTTTTTTTACCGAAGGTAAACACATTGTGTGTAATTCTTACCCCTCCAGCAACATAGTCCTCCTCTGGTTCTTCCTGCCACATGCATTACATGGGGCTAAATGAACTGCATGAAGTGGGTGCCAACCAGGTACAATATTTGTGAAAGTGGGAAGTGTTTTCACAACTCTGAAAAGAACAGAATGAAATAGATTTAGCATTTTCAGTTTAGCAAAAATCTTCTGTTTTTTCAAAGGAAGAAGAAGAAAATGGTACAGAGAATCCTTTACGATGTGGCGTTTACATCAGGAAGAAAGCCTCACAGCAGTAATGTTCCTTTTAGACAGCAGACTGAATCACCTGCTTGTCTGCCCTTCAAAGAAAATACACCTCTGAAACCATCGTTCTCACTCATCTTCCAAATTAATGCTGAAATGTTTAGCTCCTCAACCAGTCTAACAGAAAATGAATTGACATTTTTCATAATCACCTCTCTTCAAGTCACTTATCAGAGAAAAATGCCAAACATTCAGGTTTTATTTAGCTGTGAACTAAATGTCCTACAATACCCTTGAGCTTCAGATTGCTGATCAGACAAAATAAGAAATTTTAAAACATCACTCCAGGTTCTAGGAAACTGTGCGTGGGCAATTTCACTATTTCTTCTTACTACATATATAGTCCAAGTTACAGCTGGATAAATGAACCAATGAGTCGTTGTTTTATCTTTCATTTTCCCAGTCCAAACAAACCTGAGGCACAGTGGGCTCTCATCCAACTGCAACCGATTAGTGAGGGATACATTTGTTCTCAGCATGATATTGTCAACACAGTTAATTTCCTTGTGCTTTTACACTCATCACTGTCAAGCTTTTGGTTGTTTTTGAATTAATAAAGACAAAACACTCTAGTGACTCAAGTTAAACGTGTATTTTACCATGCATTTCATCACTTACCTTTCTTTCGTAACAGTTTTGCATTGGCTGCACCTGAACTCCCACTGAAAGGTTGACTGGAAGAGAGGCTCCACCCATGAGTCCATTGCAACCAGAAGCGGCATAGCGAATACCGGCGTTTCCCTCTGACCTGAAAAGCACAAACATGCAGCAGCTAGAGCACGGGTCCGAGCACTGATAGAAGCTGGAGTTGCACAGTTTCAAGATCATTCTGAAGAATCTAATCCGCAGCTATGGGTTAGATTTGAAAAATCACATCAGTCTCTTTTATGCTTTCTTTAAACAGTGTTTCCCCCATCACCATTCCCGCCCAACCCTTCGCTTTGTGATATGCAAGAGCAAGTTCTCCCACTTGCTTATACAGTAATGTAAAGATGTGGCTGCAACAACCTGACCAAAATCTAAGACCTGCATGTTCATACCTGTAAGTTTCTGATATTTCAAGATGAACTCCTGCCTACTAAACATGAGTCAGGACAACTTTTTGGTATGCATGCGAGTTCATAAATATATAAAGCATAATATGCCAAGGTAAAAAAAAAACTAAACTAAACTAAACTAAAAGACACAGGTAACTGAGAGCTTCAGCAGTGTGAAGGTCTTACATGGAGCCTTTCACATTGTGTATAAAGTATCTGATTACATGTTGCAGAAACAACGTGCCAAAACAAGACAGACTACTTTTTTTTATATACTTCTTTTTGTCACTGTAATCTCTGGCAAAAAGTACTGGGCTATAAGAAATCTAATATTCATGAAGAGAAGGCTTGAGGGGCTCTGGGAGCGTTGTGCTGTTCAGCTTGAAAAGCATTCAGTCAGACACCTCTCCCTTGCTCAGAGTAGCTTGGCACAACTTGCACATTGTTCCTGATCTAACTCTGGTTTCCTATCAGAGCTTAAAAAATTTAAAGAAAAAAAAGGGCATATAAATTAGACTCAAAAAACAAACCTCAGTGACCAAACACCTGATCGCAATATTACCTTTTTGTTGAGGCAAAGTTGTTAATTAGAAGTAACATCGGCAGAACAATGAATGAGGTACTAAAATGAGATGCAGCAGTGATACTATAGAGAACATTGTTTATAGCCAGAGCAAAAACTCATGTGAACGCAGCAGAACTGTGAACAGGCCACATAACTAGAATAGAATAAGAAGCTACTGAAACACTAGAAATAACTTTCAAATATTAAGGAAAGGATAAGAATACATGACAGTCTATATTAGGGCCCGTATTATATTTTTTCTTTGTCTAATGACCATAACCATCTAGCCAGACTAAAAGTGAGTCAGCTTTCTGGTACAGGTTCCCAAAATCTACAGTATAAAAGTCTTGCAGTGTACATTTTACATTACGTCAATAGAAATAGTATCTAATTTCTCATATAGAATTCATTTTAGTTTGGCTTGTGTGACTGAATTTACCTAGTTTGCAATGCAACTTGGGCTGCAGTAGTCTGAAGACTGACATCCTGAGATTCTGTAGGTCTGCATTGGCCCTTTGCAGCACATGTTTTGGCACCCTCGCGATGCCATCTAGACAGAAACAACTTCACATAAGTATGAACTGCACATAAAAACACAGCACTGGATTTTACATTAAACACATTCATCAGTAAATTAACTTAAAATGCTTTTAGATAATAGGATCTGCACATTTTCATTGATGGCAGTACTATATTCACAGTCAGATGGAGGTACAATATTTGTGCTAGTCCATGCAAATATGCTACACTTCAAGGATCAGTTCCTCCAAACAAACAAACAAACCCACCAATGTTTTCTTAGTTAACCCTTGTGGTATCTAGCAATGCAGACTGAGTTTCATGTGCTCACCTTTCCAACTCTCCCAGTATAAATGAGGTAATATTGCAGTTTTGCTTTATAAATGTAATATTTCAATCTTTTTGTGAGCACAAAGTTCTGTTCTTCTTCTTTATTAGCACCAGAAGAAATCCCAGGAATAGACATCTTAAAACCTGGCCAATTTAATATAAACCAATCTGCAAGGCCAGATACATCTACAGGTACATTAAGCTAAATATATAAGGGACTCTGCTCTTTGGGTGATAGCAGCAGTTTAGGGCAGGGGTGGCCTATTCCAGTCCTCGAGGGCAGATACTGTTAGGGTGATTTTTATTTTTCCCCACAATACCAATTGGAAGATACCAATTCACTTTATCTTTCCTCACTCCACTTTCATCTAAGATGGTATCTTCCAGCTTCTGACTAGCTGAACACACCTGAGCCAAATAATCAGCAGCAGGTCAGGCAGGGATAGTTGGAAAACAAGCAGGACAGCGGCCCTCGAGGACTGGAATTGGCCACCCCTGGTTTAGGGTGTATTTTTACTTAACAAGTACTAATTACACAATCACTAACTTGCTGTCACATATGCTGTAAATGAATTTACACTTCAAGTCTACTGTAGACGATCTTTTTAACTCACCTCTGCCAGTCTGTCGATGCACTTGGATGGCAGCACAAACTTCTTCGTATCCTCTCATCAGCTGCCAGACAGATGACTGCTGAGGCTCATCCTTAGGTTTACACTTTCTCAAGCTCTTGCAGTTTACCAAAGCAACAAGTAGAGAGTCCAGCCAACACAGGTTGTCAGTGTTCCTCCAGAAAAGCTCAGTTGGAACAGATATGAGCTCCTCTAACTCCTCAGTTCCTGATCTGATGTCCTTACATGAGGTGATGTCTGCATTCAGTGATTTCTGATCTATCCTTGCTGTCCATTCATTGAACTGAGGCAGTATAGACTGACTGGACGCTGGACTGCACTGTCTCTTCAGCTCCTCGGGAAGGCTCTTCTCCTGCGTGAAGTCCTCTTCTGCATCTGATACACAAAGAGCACCACAGTGAGGAGAGAGTGCAGGCTCATTCACATCAGCGATCAACGAGGCTTCTGATGAGCTTCGCAGGCGTCTATCTGAGGCAGACCATGGAGGAGGAGCAACACTTCCTGTACAAGCACCCTCTGGTTCTGGAGCAGCCTCATCTTGTGACAAGTCCAATCCTGTTGCCTCTGGACAATCAAAACCCCTTTGGTGTCCATTTAACGTTTTAGCATCTGTCTTGGATGTTGCATGTTGGTCATCACTGCCAGTATTTTCAGCACAATGCTCAGCCCCAAGACTGTCAGGCTCAGTTAATCGTAGCCGTTTGGGGGAGCGTTTACTCAACTCTTCCTTTTCCAGTGCTAGGGGTTTTTTTCTTTTGTTCCTAACGGCGGATTCCACGGGATCCAAGCTAGCCAAAACATCCTCCAAGGACCGGCTGACCAGAGGGAAAAGGCACTATGTGGGAGTGAATACAAAGACGTTAACACAGCAACTATCAAAAAAGACATGAAGCATGGCTGTCAAGTGAATGTGTATATGTGAGAGCAGTACTGAGACATACCTCTGGGTTTGTGCATAGGGTGATTGACTCCTGGAGGTTGATGCAATAAGAGCGCAAAGCATGGGTTAGACCCTTTGAAATACACCAGGGGCAATGCTCCAGTGAAGCAGCTCTTTCTTGAACCTTTGAAAAAAATATCACACACACAGTATTAGTTCAGTTCGTGGAGATCTACAAACCCAAAACATCGGATTGTTTTGAAGAACATGCAAATCTAGACAAACGTTTAACCAACTTAACTGCCATATTTCCTGCATCTTTTTCATGCCATTGCCATTCTCGGCAGCACTGCTTGTTACATTCTTCCAATCACATTTAAATACTCGTTCGTATGAGTGCATTTGAAGGAAGGTTTTACTTGATTTCCCTTGCAGAAGTGAAGGATACATACAAGACCTGCTGAAAGCAATCACCAGGTAAAATCTGTTTATTAATGTTAGGGTTTTTGGCCTCAGATTTCTCCTCCTCAGAAATAGGGGGGTATCACTTTAGTGAGGCAGAATGGCACATGGGAATTAGAATTTTATTGTATCAGTATTAAATATAAACATGTATAAGCCATAAAATAAAGCAGTAATAGTAAACCTTTTTCTTTCAAGTGGACAAACAGAGGAAAAACATTTTATGTAATACAGTTTTTCATATAACAATCATTGACTCTCAACATCACTATGGGCTTCAAGCCTATATAAACACTTTCGCCTTTTACAACCAAAGATTTCCATTTGTATTTTGTTGTCTTTTGTTTATTTTGAATTAGTACTGCCCAATCACAGTATATTTCAAATATAATTCAGCTTTGCGCAAGTGACAACAGTGAGAGGAAAGCATGAGCTCTACTGACTTTTCCCAAATACCCCGCCAGTGGTGAGGCAAAAGCCCCCAAACCAGTGTCTTCACCAGTCATTGGCAAACCAACTGCTGCTCTTCTGGTCCACAGCTATCCGGTGCCATTCAAAAATATTACCATGTCACTGTAACCTGGTTCACGTCCAAAGGAGCTGAAGAGAGAAATATAGCATCACATGGGGCATGTTACTCAGTATCGAAAAGTTATGAAGATACAAGGAAATGAACTCCCTGATAGGGCTGGACTATAAGACAAGATATAATGTGAGACAATAGAAATTAGTCAATCAATATTTTCTTAACTTAATCTGGTTATTATTCAGGAAATGGCACACCATTATCAATGAGCCACAAGCTCTATGGCAATACTGGATTTATCTGTAATTCTCTTGTTTCTTAAAAATTTAGGTTTAAGGGACAGATTTGGATTTCTAGAAAATATACTTAATTATAATGCAAATGAACCTGACAATATAAAATTATACATACTGTAATAAATGACTTTCTTCATATAGTTTATCCTTTTCCCATTTGCTTACATCTTGAGTTCAAACGCATTTAATCTTGAAGGGGCATGACTATAAGTATCATATGGATTATTTTGAAATACACTTTTTCTTCTGGAATCAGTATTAGTACAGGAAATGAACACACGTTCTCTCGCAGCGCAAGCCCCTTGACATAAAATTGTTTGCTAGTATACTCGTTGGACCACCAGACCAAATGCAGGAGTCTGTGCATTGAAGTCAGAAAAGGTTGGTTATACATAACATGTTTCGATTCAGGGATAGTGTCATATAATCAAGACACGGGCACTTAAAAAGAGTACCACGAAGAGCTGATAAACATTGACTGAAGTCTTCTCCAAAGACAAATACATGAGATAAGTTAGATTCAACACTAACTCCATTGAGGAGCTGAATTATGTCAGAGGATCCATCGCACCTATGTCCCATTACCTAATATTAACGCTATAATGGCTTATTTTGATCCTTACCAAACTTACTATTTAATTAAGGTCCTTTAACAAGCATGTAGTCACTAACTATCAAATCCAGCACCGGGCGGCAGGCATGCTAACACATTAGCCTAAAGCCGGGCATTAATTTTAGTCACTGCGGAGTCGTTTGTCCAGGTTTAGTGAATCGAGGTTATACGTACCGAATGGAAATTTAAATTATAAATGATATTACGATCCGGATCGATGAATACTATCCATAACGAACAGCATTTATTAAACCCCTGCAGAACAATTCCATGTGCATCGTCCAGCAAGTTCGTGTCACAAACGTTCCCCTTCCGCTAGCCGGCGGTAGTGCAGCGGCCTTTGTCCTCCCCCGCTCTGATAAACAAAGGTTCCGTTCATCCCCAGTTGGTCATTCAAGTGAAGCGCAACCTGTGCTTAAGTTATTGTTCATGTTAGCGCGTCTCAGTAGGTTTGAATTGCAGTGCGTATGAAACTATAGTTAACTGATGTGAGTACATGAACTTGTTAAAATATATGCTGCGTTTAATAACATTATTCATTTATTATATTTAGCTTTCTAAATATTATTTATAGCAAATAATGACAACAAGAATGATGCAAATCCTGCTCCCGACATTCCATTCTATTGTTTCTTTCCCCGCCTTTAAAACCCATTATTCCATATTCCACTGTAGAAGATATATACTGTAGGATTACTGTTATTGCTTAAAGAAATAACCCTGTTATTTAACCCTAAGTTTTTTGTATTTATCAGTTTTTAGAAGAAGAACAAAAAGTTTGCATGCCATGTTTTTAAAAGTAAAATTATATAACATCTCAAAAGTTAAAATATCACAAGTTAAATTGCAAATTTTCAATGATTTAACTAACCTATATAATAATACTAATAATAATAATTATTATTATTAGTATTATTATATTCTGCTGGTTCTGTACTGAGTATATGCAAGCTGATATAGCCAATTTAAGTTGAACAAAAGAAGCAAAAAAGAACAAAATAACCATGGAATCTTTCATATTTGCAGTAAGTCACCAGAGATAGTTGTATTTTGAAATACTAGCCTGTGCTAATTCTGCCTACATGCAGTCTATTGTTTATTTATCTGGTTTTGTATATAAGGTTATTTATTTATTTATTTATTGTAGACCTAAAATGTAAGTAGAAGCTTGTAGCTGACTGGATGAACCTGGGGGTTTCATGCATCCCTCTCTTTGGTTCTGTAATGCAGCCCAGCTCTCACACCTCCTGCTCTTGTACCCCACCCACCCACACACACTCACAGACGGGCATACAGAAATCTCTCTCCACCCAATCCTGCCTATTGCATATGCCCTCCTTCCTTAAGCCCCTCCTGTATCTGCTGCTCTCCTGTCCTCTATTTTCCTCCTGATGAGATGACAAAATGAATTTGCATATTTTTCCCAGGGAGCGCTCATTAGAATGCATAAACCGGCCATCTCCTAGCTTCATGAGCAGGCTATAGCTTTCTGCCCTGGCATCTCCTGATGCAAAATGAGACACAGGCAAGCAGCACCACAGGCAGACATGTGGCCTGAGTCTGGGTTGTGATTGGCATTTGGAATCAGTTCACCCATCCCATTCTTAATTCAAGGATGAGAATAAAATTCTTTGTCAGCCATTTTTCTTTGTTTCTGTATTAGCTGCCAAGCAAAAGCACATTTATTGGAGACAGTTTCCTCATTAAATGTATAGAGAAACAACTGGTCATTTCTTAAGGGTGTATTATTACTAGATTGGTGTGCATATGACAACATTTGCAATTTAAAATGATCACTAATATTTTTATTTTAGGGCCCCACCCCCTACCACTACATTTAAACACACAAACAAGCCTTTAAAGTCAAATAGCTAACTGCATTACTTCCACTGTGGGCCAAGCAAGTCATCTTAGGAAAGGCCCCTTTCACAGCCTGACATCATTACTCTGAAATTTTAGTAGGCTAGCCTTCTTTGTGGATACTCATTTGTCCTTTGTTTATATCTGAATGTTTTGCCTAATGGTGGCGCTAGAGCTCAGGTCACTAGATCACACTCACCAGAGTTTTATACCTACTGGAAATGCGAGTCTAAACAGAAGCATAGGCCTACTTATAATTCTTCTGTAATAGTATTAAAAGTGGTTATGCTGGATTATAAGAGTATAATATAAGGTGCACAGTAAGTTTTGTGTCTATGAGTTACAAGTCAAGGGTTACCGAAAACAGTTTATGGGGGGGTGGGTGGTAGCTTGCAGCTTCTTGCACACAGTTTCCTGGTTCTGATTGAAATTTCTTTATTATAAAGGTATTTAACATTTCACTCTTTGTACAAAGAACAGGAAGCAAATACAAAGCCAATGAATCTTTATTTAGCCACAAATGATGTCCATATGCATGTCCATATTAACAGCAAACAGCAGCAGTTTGACACTATTAGTGAGACACATGAAGCTGGTCTTTGGCTTTGACCAGCCTCTCAATGTCAGGCTGAAGCTGACTAACTGAGAGGGTGAGAACGTCCTGCAGGTGTAGATCAGTCAGAGTGCTTCTGAGCCTGGTTTTGTTAAGGTTCATTACACTGAAAGTCTGTTCACAAATGTGCTGCCAATGTCAACGGTGCTGCCAAACAGAGATAACATCACCTGTGCGTGCTTCCTAATGTTTGGGTACCGTTCTGGTGAGACATGTGTGTAGAAGTCCTTCAGTTTCAGTGACATGAATTTATTCCTCAGCTCTTAATTGCACTGAAACTCAATCAGCTCCATCCATCTGAATGTGATCAGAGACACAGTCCACACATGTGCTGAAGGGTTGGGAAAACAGCTCCATGTCACCTGAATTCTTCCTGAAGTCCTGAAAGCGCATTTCAAACTCCAGGTCTAGGTTGCTGACAAGTGTTGCATATTCAGACAGTTTCTGTTGTACCAGGTTTACCTCTCCCAGACTGGGGACGTGAGCCAGGTTTCCTGAAAAGAAGTAAAAAGTAATGAATAATTATCAATGCAATAAATATTGCAATTTTCACTCACTAGTAATGTCATATTCCACAAATCATACAACTGACAGTTCTGTTCCTCCGCATCCCATGATCACATTAACATTAAAAG